TATGTATAAACAATAGTCAAACTTTTGACGACCAGTATATATAATATAAACAATAATTGAAATTTTGATTGTCAGTTTATATACATGTATATAAACACTAGTGGAACTGTTCATGTGGGAACCTTATCTTGTCTCATGTTTGTGTATCTTTGTTTCCTCAGTCATCAGACAGGGTGGTCTGCCCTTGCTGTCAACTTCCTGCGTTGCGTCAACAACCACCCGCTGATCGTAGACCACGCCAGCGCCATGATCAACGTCCAGCCGTAAGTCGCTGCGTCTCCCAGATGTTGGCACACCGTCTGTCTCCCAGATGTGTCACATCCTCAAAGTTACAACCTCTCCCAGTCTTCCTGATGTGTCACATCCTCAAAGTTACAACATCTCCCAGTCTTCCTGATGTGTCACATCCTCAAAGTTACAACATCTCCCAGTCTTCCTGATGTGTCACATCCTCAAAGTGGTAACATCGTCTAAGTCTCTCAGGAAGGGCCAGCAGAAGTGAAACTCTTTGACCTTCGTCCAGTGAGTTGAGACTGAGCCACGTTTACGAACACGTAGGCCTACCTTGTGACTGGCAGGCCTCTAGATGCAGGGATACTGCTGTGTGAACTCCCCTCTCACTTCCTCTCTCCTCCCACCTCGCCCCTCCCCTTCTCTTCCTGTCTCCTCCCCCTTCCCCTTCCCCTCCTCCTCCGCCCTCACCTCCCCCTCCTTAACCTCCCCCCTCCCCCCACCTCATATTTGCGCAATGTTTTTGGTCCGTGAAAAGTTGTGAGGATCGCTGAAAGACTGTGATAGGTATCTGGCTTTGTTTTGGTGTCTGGTTGTGTTTAAAATCTTAAAAAAACAAGAATGTGACAGAGATTGGAAGGTTGGAAGGTGTTCCTCCTGTGTGCTTTGGTCTTTCTTATCCATCAAACATCTACCATAGATCCATCTTTATCTGCGCGCTCATATGACCTTAGCAGTTGCGAGCGCCGTAAAACCTTATACTATACCATCTTTATCTCTTCTCCTCCTTTTCTTTGTCAGTTACTCTCTACTAACACTTCTCAAATCTGTGGCCCTGACTTGACATTATTGGTTTGAAAGTGCTGTAAAACTCTTACTAATACCAAACTTGAACCTAGAGATGGCAAGCTTTGAGATGAGGTCCATGACATTGGCTGACCAAGTGGTGTATGAAATAGCCTATGTAGCAGTTTCCTGGAATATCTTCTTACGTTTATCCTTTTCCATACAGAATCTTTTATGACAAGATTTCGAAAGTATAGATCTAGATCTAGGTGTTTTATTGTGCTGAAAGCCTACTTCATAATCAATAACCATATCATAAGAACAAGTATTGTGACAAGTATTGTGACAAGTATAGTGACAAGTATTGTGACAAGTATAGTAACAAGTATAGTAACAAGTATTGTAACAAGTATTGTAACAAGTATTGTGACAAGTATTGTTTGCTCGGACACTGTGTGTAACGATCCACACGGATGAAACGAGTATACACCAGATGTTTCCTGCTGTATGGAAAAAGTATTCACATTTAACCAAACAACTACTGACAATGCTGATAACTATACCGTTGTATACACATTTAACCAAACAACTACTGACAATGCTGATAACTATACCGTTGTATACACATTTAATCAAACAACTACTGACAATGCTGATAACTACACCGTTGTATACACATTTAACCAAACAACTACTGACAATGCTGATAACTATACCGTTGTATACACATTTAACCAAACAACTACTGACAATGCTGATAACTATACCGTTGTATACACATTTAATCAAACAACTACTGACAATGCTGATAACTATAATGTTGTATACACATTAAAATTTAACCAAAGAATTATTGACAATATTGATAAATATAACGTTGTATACACATTTACCAAGCAACTACTGACAATACTGTCACATGAACACATACAGCCAAAGTCAAGTCTTGCATTCCGCACCTGTCATCACCCCGTCTTGCAGTTATTGAAATATGTTTTTTATTCTGTGTAATTGATTCCTACATTCTCACAGTGTTCATTTTGCTAAAATATTCGTCTTGGAAATGACTGGTTCGTCTCTACCACTCGGCACACACTTGAGCTGACACTCTCTAGCGATATGGTGAATATACTGTGTCGTCTCTACCACTCAGCTCATGTACGCTGACACTCTCTAGCGATATGGTGAATATACCGTGTCGTCTCTACCACTCAGTTCATGTACGCTGACACTCTCTAGCGATATGGTGAATATACCGTGTCGTCTCTACCACTCAGTTCATGTACGCTGACACTCTCTAGCGATATACGGTGAGTATACCGTGTCGTCTCTACCACTCAGCTCATGTACGCTGACACTCTCTAGCGATACGGTGAATATACCGTGTCGTCTCTACCACTCAGTACATTCACCGTATCCCTAGAGTATGTCAGCGCGTGTGTGAGCTGTGGGGTCATGAGGCCCTGTCTTGCTGGAAGTTCTGATTCTGTCTTCCTTCATCGTCAACTAAGAAAAGTCCAAACCCCTCCAGAATTTTGATTAGATGACGAGGTGTCGCTCAGAGTTCACCGAATGCCAGACCACCCGCACCTTTTCAAGACTGCGTTGTTTTTACCGGCTGTCTATCGTGTGTTACTCAGCGTTGTTTTGACTGGCTGTCTATCGTGTGTTACTCTGCGTTGTTTTGACTGGCTGTCTATCGTGTGTTACTCAGCGTTGTTTTGACTGGCTGTCTATCGTGTGTTACTCAGCGTTGTTTTGACTGGCTGTCTAT